CTTGGGAGGCTGAGGCAGGAGAATCACTTGAACCTGGGAGACGGAGGTTTCAGTGAGCCAAGATCACACGACAGCATTCCGGCCTGGCAACAGAGCGAGACTCAGTCTCAAAAAAAAAAAAAAAAAAAAAAATTAGTGTATGACATACAGGGTGACCAGCCATCCCAGTTCCTCTGGAACTGAGGGTTTCCTGGGACATGAGACTTTGAGTGTTAAAGTTGAGATGGTTGGTCACTGTAAGACGTGAGAAACAGAATGGTCTATTTAATAAAGGGTATTGGGTTATCTAAGTAAAGCTGTGGTGCCCACACTTTGCTGTATATTGGAATCACCTGGGAAACGTTTAAGACTATTGATGCCTAGTTCCTATCTGAGGCATTCCAGGGTCATTGGTATGAGGTGTGACCTGGGCATCAGGATTTTTAATGGGTAACAAAGCTTGAAAATCACTGGGGTAACCATCATGGGGAACACAAAGCTGCTCCCTACCTTGTATGTGTAAACTTTCTCATGGGTTAAATATTTCTATGTAAGGAATAAAGGATTCTAGACAGTGACTGGATTTGCTTGCTCCAAGGGAAGAAGTTTGACCTCTTCCATGAAAAGTCTGGAACTTCTGGAGCTGGGGGCAGGTGCAGCACACAGACTCAGGGAGTTTCAGGGGGGCACTTTATTCCTGTGCCTCTAGGAGGGGTGGACATTTTCCCTGGAAGCAAACAGATCTGGCTGAGGACAGCCTATCTCTGTTGTACCTAGAAAATACAGGCACCTCTTCACATCTCAACAATGAAGTCCCAGATCACCACCCTGACTGCCTCCAGCTCACCATAAAATCATCTCCCACTGTATATTACACTGTCCAGCCATCCACCACTCGCTGAGAGACCTGCACTGGTGTCTTAGGAACCCTTTGTTGCCAGCAAGAGCAAAGACAGGTCACATGCCACATCTTGCTGAAGTGAGTTAGTGTTTTGGAAGGTCAAATGGAGGAACTAATTTATACCACGCAGAAAAAAAAATATGAAATGGGTGCTATGAGTGTAAAGTTAAGTGATTTGGAGGGCAAATTCCAGAGATATTCCAGGAGGAGAAAAAGGCCATTAGGGAGAGAAATAAAAAAGAAATAGCAAGAATCTTCCTGTAGCTAAAGATGTGGGACTTGATACGGAAAGGGCTCAGCAAATGAATCTCACGTAAAATTAATGAGACCCTCATAAAATTAAAAAAGACCCTTATCCAGACATAGTTGGCTGGAATTTCTGAACTCTAAGAGTGGAGAAGAAATTGTATGAGCTTCCAGACAGAAGGAATAGATTTTTGTACCAAGGTAAAAAGAATCTGATTAGAATTAAAGTGCACATCTGTGAGGCTGTAAGCTAGAAGATAGTGGAACAGTGTTAGCAAATTATTGTGAAAAGGATGCAATGCAATAATGTTATACCCAGCAAAGATATCATTCTGTGTGAGATCAGAGCAATTTTATAGACACAAAAGAGTTACTTCCTAACTAAACAAAATGACTCTAACAATTATTTTTATAAAATAAAAATGAAATCCCCCTAAATAGTTCAAGAGAAAGAAATGCAAAAAGTATAGGAGGCAGTGGTAAGTGATGAATTGAGTAATTGTAGTCCAAATTATGTGGTTGTGGTAGTGTTACACATCTGGGATAAATTTTCTGAAATCATTTGAAGGCTTGGAGAGCTAGTGGGAAACACCAGTGGAAAATAAACTCCTGATTCTGTTGTGGTTCTCCTACAGTGTCCTCAGTGTTTTCATTTTTGAAAACTTGGGCAGTATTTTAATAGGATCGTGGACTGTTCCATGTTATTGTAATGTGTATTTTAGTCCTTATGTCTTATATTGGCCTAGAGAATATTTTATTTGGTGTTGGTATACGTATTTCTATGTGCACATCACAGATTTTATCCCCGCGAATGACGGAGAATTTGAAGTTAAGAAAGCAAGAGTACTGTGTACTTTAGTTCGTTCTCTGACAAGTGTGTACATACCTTCAATGTGCACAGCTTGGTGTCTAGAGCCTGGCGAGATACAGGGATGCCATAGAGATGGCACCGCTATGCAAGGAATGGGAGCTGTGTGCTCATGTGCCAGTGATGTACCATCTGCCCTTTGCTGTCCTGACAGTTAAGACGTGGACATCTGGTTGCGTGTTAGCAGCTGCATTCAGCACATGCTTCTGAGAGACCGTCTTGAGGAATGTAGTTACTGGTGATTGTGTCCGAGAGTTGTGGTTGCTAAGTCCCTGACATCACTCCTGCAGCCTGTCTCTTGTGACTGGCTGTTCTCTGTGAAGATAAGAAATCTGGTGTCAAGTTGTGTGTGGTCTTTGCGGCAGCTCAGTGTTTTTGATGTGTCCTCTGACACATCTGGGTCGCTGATGTCTTGGTGAGTGCTGGCCCGTTGTTCTCTTCTGGGGAACAGCTCTTTTGAATTGTCCTGCCAGTTTCTGGGTTTGGGAATGGGGTAACAGGCCCTGCAGGGTCCCTCTCAGTGACAGTTTTGCTGGTGTGGGACATCTTTGCTGTCTGTGGGCCACTCTAGGGAGAGTGCTGAGAATCGTTCTGCTACTAGTGATGCTCTTGAGACACGGCCATGGACAAGCCTGTGCAGGTGGCGGAGTAAGCATCGCTTCTTTCTATGTCAAGTGTCCTTGGAGTGAATTCACACGTTGGAAGCATGTGGCTCCATCAGTAATTGTGCCCACACTCTGAGTGTCGGGACTGGATGAAATAATTACCTCCTTCTTCGTTCTTTTGGGAATGTTCATACTGCTGTAACTGTGACTATCTGGTACACTCAGTCTCATAACAAGATGTGTTTTGGGGCACTACTACAAAAAAGGTGCTGTGTTGGGAGCTCTGGGGGATATAATATGGAAGGCCTTGAGTTTGTGCCCTAAACTAAGGAGACAACAGGGGAAGAGGAGGTACAGGAAGGCAAGATCAGAGCCCGGGCAGTGACTGCTGAGGGTCACTGATAGCTCCTCTTTCATCTTCACTCCCTGCTCCCATCTGAGCCCAGATCCCTTTGCTTCTGCCACCTAAGGTGCTTGCTGAGCCACTTCTCCACTGTCCTCTCTACTGTTTTAGTTTAAGCTCTCCTTTTTTTTTTCTTTTTAAAAATTGCAGTAAAATAGACATTAAAAATTTACCATTTTAAGCATTTTCAAGTGTGAAAGCTCTTAACTGGACTACTGGAATATGTTTTTTTAAATAATTGAACTATCATACAAGCAAAAAGGAATGTGTAATGTAAAAGTACAGTTTAAAGAATATGACAAACACTTGGGGAAACACTTAGCTTAAGAAGTAGAACGTTGCCGGGTGTGGTGGCTTTCCACGCTGTAATCCCAGCACTTTGGGAGGCTGAGGCGGGTGGATCATGAGGTCAGGAGATTGAGACCTCCTGGCTAACACGGTGAAACCCCGTCTTTACTAAAAATATGAAAAGTTAGCTCGGTGTGGGGGAGGGCACCTGTAGTCCAGCTACTGGGGAGGCTGAGGCAGGAGAATGGCATGAACCCAGGAGGTGGAGCTTGCAGTGAGCCGAGATGGTGGCACTGCACTCCAGCCTGGGTGACAGAGCAAGACTCCATCTCAAAAAAAAAAAAAAAAAAAATAGAATGTTAAGCAAACTTTTGGACGTCCTCTGTGCCACTTTCCTGATGCTAGCCCTTTGCTTTCCCCTAGTGGATAGAATAACCTTTTCAGTCATCTCCCTGCCTCTAGCCTCGCCAGGCCTAGAGAGACAGGGCTAAAAGAAAAAATGTTGATAATTGCTCAGTGACTCTGCATATGTCTTAGTCTGTTTTCTGTTGCTATAACAGAATACCTGAGACTGGGTGATTATATAAAGAATGGTGATTTGGTTTTGACAGTTCTGGAGGCTGGGAAGTCCAAGGTCAAGGTGTCAGCATCTGGTAAAGGGCCTTCTTGCTGTGTCATCCCAAGGCAGAAGGTGAGAAGGTGAGGGAGAGTGAGAGAGAAAGCAGGAGAGAGCTGAATTCACTTTTATAACAAACCCACTCTCACAATAAAGAACTTCCTCCCAAGATAGAGACGTTAATCCATTCATGAGAGCACAGCCCTCATGACCTAATCACCTCTTAAAGGTCCCACCTCTCAACACTGTTGCATTAGGGATTAAGTCTCCAACACATGAACTTTGGGGGGCATATTAAAGCCATAGCAGTGTGGTTTGGGGGATAGAGTGCAGAGTCCGGGGCACGGGGTCCAGGCCCTCTCCCAGTTTGGCCTGCCAGGTCTCTGCAGCTGCCCTGTCACCATGATACCTGCAGGCTGCAGCTGCACCCTTTGTCCTCTTCCCGCCATGGCCAAGCAGTGCTGTCCCCTCTCTTGAGCCCTCCAGCCTACCATGCTGGGGACTTGTGTTGAGCTTTCCTGCACATTGCTCAGCCTGGATGGTTCCTGCACATCCACTTCCTCTGCAAGCATTGTTCGGTTTGAAGGGAAAGAGGAGGGAGAGGATGGGATAAGCCTGAAGGGGAAGGGACCCAAGTTAGTCTTTGAGGGGCCATGGATTTAGATTGGGAAGAGTTAACATCCCTCCTGATCGGTCCTCATTATGTCTTCTTAATGAAAGCTGCTCGTTTTCTTCTTGAGAGCAAACAACCCGATCTTATGACCATTTGTCTTGGTCACCTGGGCTACCCAAATTGAGTGAGAAGTCAGGAAGGAGCCGGTGGGTTCTTGGGGAGAGGCAGGTATCCTGGCGAGTTGCCGGTGCCTCCCTTGACTGCTTTTCCTGGAGCTCCGTGTGCCCTCATTCTTCTTGGCGTGGATGCATGTTGTTCTGATGATGAGTCAGCCGGGGTGGGGATGGCGCATTGTTTGAATGGATGTGCATTCACATTGCTGCGGGAGAACGTGGTGGGAGGTGCTGTGGTGAGGTGGCCCCACACGTGGCTGGGCTTTGTGGAGTTTTGACTCTGTCCTTCCCAATGTTCCTCCCCACAGTGGCTGCCTCTGGGTGATGATGGCCGCATGAGCACCCGCCATGGCCCACCGGAAGCGTGAGAACGTGGGGAGCGGCATGTTGGACCATAGGGTGAGACCGGGTCCTGTCCCCCACAGCCAGGAGCCCGAGAGTGAGGACATGGAGCTGCCCTTGGAGGGCTATGTGCCCGAGGGCCTGGAGCTGGCTGCCCTGCGGCCAGAGAGCCCCACGCCCGAGGAACAGGAGTGCCACAACCATAGCCCCGATGGGGACTCCAGTTCCGACTATGTGAACAACACCTCCGAGGAGGAGGACTATGACGAGGGCCTCCCTGAGGAGGAGGAGGGCATCACCTACTACATCCGCTACTGCCCCGAGGACGATAGCTACCTGGAGGGCATGGACTGCAATGGGGAGGAGTACCTGGCTCACGGCGCGCACCCCGTGGACACTGACGAGTGCCAGGAGGCGGTGGAGGAGTGGACGGACTCCGCGGGCCCACACCCCCATGGCCATGAGGCTGAAGGCAGCCAGGACTACCCGGATGGCCAACTGCCCATCCCGGAGGATGAGCCCTCTGTCCTTGAGGCCCACGACCAGGAAGAAGACGGTCACTACTGTCCCAGCAAAGAGGGCTACCAGGACTACTACCCCGAGGAGGCCAACGGGAACACGGGCGCCTCCCCCTACCGCCTGAGGCGCGGGGATGGGGACTTGGAGGACCAGGAGGAGGACATCGACCAGATAGTGGCAGAGATCAAGATGAGTCTGAGCATGACCAGCATCACCAGTGCCAGTGAGGCCAGTCCCGAGCATGGGCCTGAGCCGGGGCCTGGGGACTCTGCAGAGGCCTGCCCACCCATCAAGGCCAGCTGCAGCCCCAGCAGGCACGAGGCGAGGCCCAAGTCACTGAACCTCCCTCCCGAGGCCAAGCACCCCGGAGACCCCCAGAGAGGCTTCAAGCCCAAGACCAGGACCCCAGAAGAGAGGCCGAAGTGGCTCCCAGAGCAGGTAGGACTCTGGCTGTCCCTGGGAAGGGAGCAGAGGGGCCCGAGAGCAGGGGACCTCAGGGTATAGACCTCGCAGATGCTGAAGCGAGGGAGTGGTGGGTGCTGGGTGCCTGACAGTTCTGATGGTGGCTGAGCTTGTCATTGGTCCAGTTGGGAGACGTGTTGTGTGGATGTTCCGGCCACTCTTAAGCTCACCCCTGAGACTCAGGAGTGAAGCCGGTTGAGGGCTGAGTGGTGACTCGTGTCTCGCAGAAGACACCCCTCCTCCCACCCTAGAAGAGAGGTTCGATTTCTTGTCCGCTGCCCTGGGTCTGCTCATGGTGGGACAGTGTCTGGGAGAGCCCTTCCATCCTCAGGGGTGTACTCAGACCAGGAGGGCAGTGGCAAAGACGTGGGGGTGCTGGTGCTCACACACTGCTGTGGCCAGTGTTGGGTGGCCTGGTGGCTGGGGTGGGGTCCAGAGTGCATTTCACAGTGGATGCTTCTCTGAAAGCCTGGGGGCCTTGGCCTGGTGGGTAAATAGCTGTGAATAACTATTTGGAAAAGGATTTTTTGAAGGTTTGACAAAACCTCGGGGAAGAAACGCATGCTAATGAGGGCAGTGGATATCAACATAACTGTATTTTAATTATAGCAAAGTCAGCGTGCATTCTAATAAACACATTTGAAAAGCTGCCTTCCAAAAAAAAAAAAAGCTTCACAGTGAATATATAAAGAAGATGTGATTATTGGACCTGTGTGAAGTAACTTCTATTTGGCCAAGTATGTAGACTGCTGTCATATTTTTTAAAGCCTTAACTATTAAATATTTTTTTCTGAGAAGAGTTCATGAATTTGAGAGAGAGAGAGAGAGAGAGAGTGTGTGTGTGTGTGTGTGTGTGTGTGTGTGTGTATACTGAAAGCTTGGGTTTGGAATGGAAATCATATTGACCCTTGGATTTTCGGCACTTGTATTTTAATGTCTTGTGTTCCCTCTGAAGAACATTAAGTGTCAGTTGACTTCGCTTTGCGGGTGTTCCTGTCATTCACAGCAATTCCGTGTTTACAGGAGGCTGTGGGATGCGTAGGAAGTCCCACAGTGTTCGTGGGTGTTGGGGGAGTTCACCCCTAAGGCCAGGAGGCTCTGGACCCTGGGTCTAGGCTTTAGGCCAAAGCAGCTTAAAAGTGTTTCTTTGGTCTTTAGCAGGGCATGGGCTTGTCCCACAACAGTGGTGAAGGCACCTCAGAGATTGACGTGGGCTGTGCAGAGCACGTGACATGCTGCATCTTGTTGTGACAGATGGCATTGCTGGCCAAGTTGTTGTCAAAAAAAATCTTGAGAGCGTGGTGGGGAGTAAGCAAGACCTGATATTTTCTGGTTTTGTGCTTCATGCTAACCAGATGGTAATTGGGGTAAAAACACAGAGATCTTGGGGTTGGAGAGCTGGGAGGTACATGAGTGGGAATGATTGGATGGATGGGTGGTAGTAGCTGTTTAAAAGGGCAGGTGGAGGTGAGGGAAGTCCCCAGCCATTGTGGAGGATCAAGAGGAGGTCTGTTCTTCCCAGAAGAGGCATTGAATGGAAAAGTAGGTCGCTTCTCCCCCTTAGGAGAGTGTGTCCTTGAAGGAAATGCTCTTGTCTGAGACGCTGGAAAAGTTGATTTAAACTGGTTAATGATTGTATAGCTTTTGTTCTGTTTTGTTTTACCCTCCCTCCCTCCCTTCCTCCCTTCCCTCCTTCCTCTCTCTCTTTCTCTCTTCTCTTCTCTTTCATCAGTTCACAAATTAACTCTGTCAAGGGCAGCACCTGCCAGTTCCAGAGTTCCAGGCTGACAAGGACCCTGGTGCCGGCGGTCCTGACTGCTCTTTCTGAAGCCTCTACCAGACCCGCTGCACGTGGGCAGGGTCTCCATGTCCTTAGATTTGAGTACCCCATTCCAGATGAGGACCTCTTTGAAAGCTGACCAGAAAGAGCTGTAGAACTCATCTTGAAAGCAAGATTTGTTATGAAAGATGTGCACTGGGAGATTTGGTGCTGCCTTGCTTGAAATCACAACGTGCTTTCCTAAGAGCAATCCCCTTACTCCCCTGTGGTCAGCCAGGCTGTGCCCGGAGCCAACAAAGGCCTGGCCTCAAACAGGTGCACAGGGTGCCGTGTGTCCTATGCCCACCTCTCTGTTCCCAGTGCTGTCCACATCGTGTCGTGATCCCTATGGTTGAGGCTGCAGTAAAAAAAAAAAATCTGAAGGGAGACATTGGCAATATTGGTCACTTAGGTGCTGTAGACTCTTGCTTTCTAACCCTAACCCAGCAGCACTGGCGTTACTGGGGAGCCCCGCCCCAAACTGCTGAAACTGAATCTGCATTTCCACAAGATGCCACATTCCAGCTGTGATGCTGTAGGAGACTCACCTGGAGGAAATTGTGCAGCAACCCTCCCTTCTCTTCTACTCATTGTACAGCTTGAAAAAGTGTGTCCTGGGTATTTTTAAGAGGACCGAATAGCATTTAGTCATTGCACGAATGGCAACAGTAGAGTTAGAAAAAATGAGACGATGAAAAAATGTATTCTCCGTGGTCCCTGCTACCCTCACGGATGAGCTGTTTCATCCATGCGCCTTTTCAGATCATAGCATTGAGCGTAAACGATGTACGTGGCTGTCATCATAACACAGATGTATTTTTGTCATACAGCTTTTAAAATCTGATGTTTGATAAATGTTTCTCCATGTCGCCATATACTTTTCGTGATTGTTTGTGGTGACCTTTCCACGATCCATTTGGGCGATGATGTGCTGTGTCACGTATTTCTCTTACGTACTCTGCCACTGAGCGTGCAGATTGTGAATGGCATTTCCTCTTAGGTGTAAGGCTGCCACAGACCTCTTTGTACAAATCATGTTTTCCTTCTTTGGGTTTATTACTCGAGGAGAAATCCCCATGCCGTACGTCAGCGTTGACCATTTCGCCTCGATGACCTTGCCTACTTGTTTCCCTTCGTCTGTGGTTGTTGGATGCATGCCCTGTATCTTTTGGGGTTTGGATGCATTTCCATCTCACAGAAGCACTCTCTACACTGTAGGTGTGACTTTCTGCTGCATATATCCTCTTCTTTAGTACACTTTCTTTTGAATTTCGGTTATGTTATTTTCATCATCTCTGCAGCACTTTTAAGATGTTAGATGACGGCGGGCGCCAGTGGCTACAAGCCTGTAATTCCCACGCAACTTTGGGGGAGAGCCGAGACGGGTGGATCACGACAGGTCAGGAGATCGAGACATACCTGGCTATAACACGATGAAACCCCGTTCTCTACTAAAAAATACAAAAAACCTAGGCCGGGCGATGGTGGCAGGCGCCTGTATTCCCCAAGCTACTCGGGAAGGCTGAGGCAGGAGAATGGTGTGAAACTGGGAAGGCGGAGCTTGCCAGTCGGAGCTGAGATCCGGCACTTGCACTCCAGCCTGGGCACAAGCAGAACTCCGTCTCAAAAAAAAAAAAAAGAAAAAAAAAAAGATGTTAATGACTCATCTGTGACCCCTCCACCTCCTTTGGGTACAGAGGGATTTAATTGAATGGTTCCTTCTTCCCAGTCTGGGTGGATGTGTTCACAGAGGATATTGCTGGTCGATATGAAAAATGAGTTGCCAGCTGGGTGCAGTGGCTCACACCTGTAATCCCAGCACTTTGGGATGCCGAGGTGGGCAAATCACCTGAGGTCAGGAGTTCGAGACCAGCCTGGCCAACATGGTGAAACCCCGTCTCTGCTAAAAATACAAAAATTAGCTGGGCGTGGTGGTGTGCGCCAGTAATCCCAGCTACTCGGGAGGCTGAGGCAGGAGAAACGCTTGAGCTGGGTAGGTGGAAGCTGCAGTGAGCCGAGATGGCGCCACTGCACTCCAGCCTTGGTGACACAGTAAGACTCCCCACTCCAAAAAAAAAAAAGAAAAGAAAAGAAAAGAAAAATGAGTTGCTGTCTGTACTCAGAAGTAGGTTGTGTGGCCTTTGGAGCCCTCCCGAGCTGTAGGATGCCATGCATTTTGAAAAGACTTCAGTTTGCAGGTAGCCCTACCACCTGTGTAACTCTGCTGAGACCAAGAGGTCTGCCCGGGGACTGGGATATGAGAGACACAAAAGCGATAGAATTTCTAAAATTGTAGGAAGATAGGATGGGGAACAGAGATCTACACATGAATTATTTTAGTAAAATAAAAAAAGTTTCTTTCAAAGCACTGCAAGTTTACTGAGGAAAATTTGGAAAATACAGGCAAAAAAGTCTTTGCCATATGGCATTGTAGAATTCCATTGTAGTGAGTTTTCAAATCAAAGAGACAAACCTAGGTCAGGATTTCCCAAAACAGGTTCTTAGAGGTATTCTGTAAACAAAGTACCACTTGATCCTTAATATTCATGGATTTCATATTTGCAACTTTGTTAACTTGCTAAAATTGATTTGTAACCCTGAAATCAGTACTCCTGGCGCTTTCCCGGTCATTAGCGGAGGTACAGAGAAGGGAAGAATTTGAGTCACCCAACTCTCATGTTCCCAGCTGAGGTTGAACAAGGCTTTGCCTTCTTGTTTCAGCTCTCATACTGTAAACAGCTGTTCTTTTCACAATCTATTTAGAGTTCTTTGCATTTTTGTTGATATGTGTGTGTGTGTGTGATAAAATGGCCCTCAAGTGTGGTGCTGAAGTCTAGTGATCCTCAGCACAGAATGGCTGCCATGTGCCTTACATGTGCTAGAGAAGCTTCCTTCAGGGCTGAGTGACAGTGCTGACTCATCTATGCTGCCACTCTGGGAGGTGCTAAAGTAACTTCTGTAGTGTATGATGAAGTTAAGGAAAAGATGGAGGAATGGTTAAATTTGCAGATTCGTGGGACAATGCCCGATTTAAAAAAGCACAGTGGACAGGCAGAAAACCCAAGAACTTTACTGTCTTGTGATCTAGCGTCAGGGAAGTGTTAAACTCTTCTCAGCTAGTGTTTTGTGATAAAGAAATACTGCATATAATTAACTG